CTGACGCATGTGAACGCAACCATTGGGGCCTTCGATGGAGCTCCCTACGGGGCCACGAACCGTGTGAAGGGTGTGCCGAAATGGGCGCGGGACGCGTGTGAACACAGCCACTGGGGCCCTCGGTGGAACTCCCTGTGGGGCCACTCACCGCATGAGGAGGGTGCCGAAATGGGCGCGGGACGCATGTGAACGCAGCCATTGGGGCCTTCGATGGAACTCCCTACGGGGCCACGAACCGTGTGAGGGGTGTGCCGAAATGGGCGCGGGACGCATGTGAACACGCCATTGGGGCCTTCGGTGGAGCTACCTATGGGCAACGAACCGTCTGAGGGGTGTACCTACATTGTGCACTGGCGGAAAGTAGAGGCACGATGAGACGACGACAACACGACGACGATGACGACGACGACGACGACGATGACGATGTTGATGATGGTGGTGGTGATGATGATGTTGATGATGATGATGATCGTGATGATGATGATGATGGTGATCGTGATGGTGATGGTGATGATGATGTTGATGCTGACGATGATGCTGATGATGATGATGCTGATGATGATGATGATGTTGATGATGCTGATGGTGATGTTGATGATGCTGATGATGATGATTATGATGATGATGATTATGATGGTGGTCATGATGATGATGATGATGATGATGTTGATGATGATGATGATGATGATGATGATGATGATGACGATGGTGGTGGTGATGATGATGATGATGACGATGATGAGGAGGACTTGCGGGGGGCAGAGGCAGGGGTGGGAGGAGGGAGAGGGCAGCAGGAGGATGGGAGGAGGAAGGAGGGAGAGGAGGAGAAGAAGGAAGGAACACGGGGCACTGTCTCTTCAAAACGAGGAACCAACACAATGGAGGTTTGGGAACGAAGAAACCAAAGCCTTAAGGCTGAATATGATTTAAAATTATCCTGGCGAAGGACCCAACCATATGCAGTTGCGAATACAGTCGTTGTGGGTACCGCCGTCGGTGGATATCTTTATGGGGCCACAAAGCGTGTGAAGGGTGTGCCGAATCGGATGCGGGGCCGCCATGCGGGAGCTACCAATGAGGCCTGCAGCGGAGCTCCCTATGGGGCCACGAAACGTGTTAGAAGTGTGCCGAGTCGGGCGCGGGTACGCCATGCGGACCATGCCGCGGGGGCCTTCGGGGGAGTCCCATGGGGCCACGAAACGTGCCAGGCGCGTGCCGAATCGGGTGCCGATACGCCATGCGGACTATGCCGCGGGGGCCTTCGGGGGAGATCCCTATGGGGCCACGAAACGTGTCAAGCGCGTGCCGAATCGGGTGCCGATGCGCCATGCTGACTATGTCGCTGGGGCCTTCGGTGGAGCTTTTATCGGGCCGCGAAACTTGAGGGGTGTGCCGAATCGGGTGCGGGTGCGCCATGCGGACTGTCCCACTGGGGCCTTCGGTGGAGCTCCCTATTGGGACGCGAAACGAGTGATGGGTGTGCCCAGTCGGGTGCGGGTACGCAATGCGGACTGTGCCGCTGGGGCCTTCGGTGGAGCTCCCCATGGGGCCACGATGCGTTTGAGGGGTGTGCCGAAGTGGGTGCGGGTACGCCATACGGACTGTGTCGATGGGGCCTTCGCTGGAGCTTCCTATCGGGCCAGGAAACGTCGGAGGGGTGTGCCGAATTGGGTGCGGGTACGCTATGCGGACTGTGCCGATAGGGCCTTCGGTGGAGCTTCCTATCGGGCCACGAAACGTGTGAGGGGTGTGCCGAAGCTGATGGCGATGATGGTGATGATCACGACAGGGAGGAGGTAGAGGAGAAGGAGGAGGAGGAGGAGGAAGAGGACGAGCAGAGGGGAGCGGGAGGAATGAGACGCGGGGCACTGTCTCTTCAAAACGAGGACCCAACACCACAGGATCGTTGGGAAAATGATCCTGTCGAAGCGCCCAACCAGATGCAGTTGTGAGTATCGCCGTTGTGGGCATCGCCTTCGGTGGATCTCCTGATGGCGCCACGAAGCGTTTAAAGGGTGTGCCGAAATAGGGGGGGGGCGCATGCGGGCGCAGCCATTTTGGCCTTCGGTGGCGCTCCACATGGGGCCACGAAACATATTGGGGGCGTGCCGAATCGGTCGCGGGTACGCCATGCGAACGTCGCCAATGGGGCCTTCGGTGGAGCTCCCTACGGGACCACGAAGCGCGTGAGGGGTATGCTGAAGTGGGCGGGGGGACGCATGCGATCATCATCATCATCATCATCATCATCATCATCATCATCATCAGCAGCAGCAGCAGCATCATCAGCATCATCAACATCATCATTACCATCATCAGCAACATCATCAGCACCAGCATTAGCATCAGCATCAGCATCAGCATCATTATCATCATCAGCATCATCATCACCACCAGAACCACCACCACCACCACCATCATCGTCATCATCAGCATCATCATCACCACCGGCATCGTCATCATCGTGATCGTCATCAGCATCATCAACATCATCAGCATCATCATCCCGTCTCACCTCATCATCATCATCATCATCATCATCATCATCATCATCATCATCATCATCATCATCGTCATCATCATCATCATCATCATCATCAGCATCATCAGCATCATCATCATCATCATCATCATCATCATCGTCATCATCATCGTCATCTGCATCATCATAATCAGCATCATCATCATCATTAGCATCATCATCATCATCAGCATCATCATCGTCATCAGCATCATCGTCATCGTCATCGGCATCGACATCGTCGTCATCATCAACATCAACCACAGCAGCAGCATGATAACCGTCGTCGTCATCATCATCATCACCACAGTTATTGTCATCATCATCAGCATCAGCATCATAATTATCATCATCATCATCATCAGCATCATCATCATAGTAATAATCATCATCAGCATCCGTATCAGCATCATCATCATCATCGTCATCATCATCAGCATCATCATCGTCGTCGTCATCATCGTCATCATCCTATTCAGCATCGTCATCATCATCATCATCGCCATCACCATTACCATCACCGTAATCAGCACAATCATCATCATCATCAGCAGCATCATCATCTTCATCATCATCATCAGAATCATCATCATCGTCATCAGCACCATTATCATCATCATCATCATCATCATCATCAGCATCAGCACCAGCATCAGCATTATCATCATCGTTATCGTCACCAGTATCATCACAGTCATCGTCGTCGTCATCGCCATCATCATCAGCGTCGTCGTCGTCATTGGCATCGTCACCATCATCAATGCCACTGCCATCGTGCTCGAAATCGTCATCAACGGCAGCATCATTATCAGCAGCATCATCATCTGTCCTCACCGTCGTGGTCGCCGTCGTCGACGGCAACATCAGCAGCATCATCATCATCATCATCAGCATCATCATCATCATCAGCATCATCATCATCAGCATCATCATCACCCGCATCAGCATCAGCAGCATCACCGTCAGAATCAGCATCAGCATCAGCATCAGCATCAGCATCATCATCGACAGCACCATCATCATCATCATCATCATCATCAGCATCATCACCATCGTCATCGTCATCGTCATCGCCATCAGCATCATCATCATTATCAGCATCATCAGCAGCAGCAGCATAATCCTCATCATCGTCGTCATCATATGTTCCATCATCATCACCGCCATTATCATCATCATCAGCATCATCGTCGTCGTCATCAGCAGCAGCAGCCCCATCCGCATCGTCATCATGTGTATCATCAGCACCAACATCACCATCATCAGCACCATCATCATCCACAGCATCTTCATCATCAACAGCAGCATCGTCAACATCGTCAGCAGCATCATCATCAACAACATCAACATCAGTATCATGCTCATCATCAGCATCATCATCATCCACAGCTCCATCATCACCATGTTCAGTACCCTCACCATGACAAGCATTGTCATCGTACTCATGAGCAGCAGCTGCATCTTCATCAACATCATCATCACCAGAATCAGCATTAGCATCATCAGCATCATCATCAGCAGCATCAGCATCAGCATTATCAGCGTCATCGTCGTCGTCGTCGCAGTGACGCCGTCGCCCTCATCAGCATCAAAACCATCATCACTACCAACACCATCACCACCACCACGATCAGCATCACCAGCATCATCGCCAGCATCGTCATTGTCAGCGTCATCATCAGCAGCAGCAGTGCCAGCAGCATCATAAGCAGCATCAGCATAATCGTCATCATAATCGTCCATAATCATCATCATCAGCAGCATCATCAGCATTATCAGTACCATCGTCATCATCATCAGCCTCATCATCGGCAGCATCATCATCGTCATCATCATCAGCATCAGCATCAGCATCAGCATCATCATCATCATCATCATCATCATCCTCATCATCAGCATCATCATCATCATCCACATCATCCACATCGTCATCGTCATCAGCGTCGTCGTCATCACCAGCAGCAACAGCATCGTCATTTCGATCATCGTCATCATCAGAATCAGCAGCCATCGGCATCATCATCAGCAACAGCATGAGCGGCAGCAGCATCATTATCATCATCGTCGTCATCATCGTCAGCATCATCATCATCAACATCATCAAACTCATCAACATCGTCCTCCTCCTCCTCCTCATCTTCCTCCTGATCATCATCAGTATCAGCATCCACATCCTCATCATCATATTCATTCTCATCGTCATCCTCCGCATCGTCCTCCGCATCATCATCCGCAGCATCCTCCGCATCCTTCGCCTCGACCTTCTCCTCCTCCACGACCGCCCTGACTCCACCCCCTGCCACCTCCACCAGCCCCACTCCCCCTGATTCCTGCCCCTCCTCCTCTTGCGCCTCCTCCTCCCGCCCCCTTCTCCTCCTGCCCCCCCTCCTCCTGTCCCATCCTCCTAAATCCCACGCGTCTGAGCGCACTCCTCGCCGCGAGCTCCCCCGCGCAGCGGCGTTTTCCTCCCAGGGCTGGCCTGCGCCGTCGTGAGGGGGAAGTAGGCCCTGGGGAGGGAGGCCCATCCGCCCGCGCCCATTCAGGCTCGAGCCCGGATGCGGCTGCGGCGGCGGGTTGGGGGGAGAGGGAACTCTGCCCCGAGGGCTGGCAGAAAGAGGAGAGAGGAGGGGGGGGGAGGAGGGGGGGAGGAGAGGGGCGGGAGGGGGGAAGGACGGGGACGGGGACGGGGACGGAGACGGGGACGGGGACGGGACGGGGAGGAGGGGAAGGAGGAGGAGGAGGAGGAGGAGGAGGAGGAGGAGGAGGAGGAGGAGGAGGAGGAGAGAAGAGGAGGCGGACGAGGAGGAGGAGGAGGAGGAGGAGGAGGAGAAGAAGAGGAGGAGGAGGAGAAGAGGAGGAGGCGGAGAAGGACGAGGAGGAGGCTGAGAAGGACGAGGAGGAGGAGGCGGACGAGGAGGAGGAGGAGGAGGAGGAGGAGGGCATTTGGGCTCGAGCCACTTCGGCTCAGGAGGGGACGGCCGCGCACGCTGTGGCCGCGCCGCGGCCCCGAGGGGGCGCCAGCGGCCGAGACGGGTTCCCGGGGAGCCGCTGCTCCTGGCTGCTCGAGGCCCGACCGGGCGGCACAGCAGGGAAGCGAGTGGAGGAGAAGATTCGACAGAGGAGGAGGAGGCGGAGGAGGAGGAGGAGGAGGGAGAAGGAGCTGCGGGAGAATACGTTCGCCGCCGTGCCTCTGGGCACGGAATGGGCGCGTCCTCAGGTCCTTTTGCCCCATCCCTGGGGCATCAGCCCTGGCTCCTAAGGAGGTTCTCAAGAGCCCCGACCCCGACTTCCGAAATCTCCAGCGGCTTCCGACGTGCCCCCTGGGGCTTCCCGCGTGCCCTCTGTGTTCCCCCCCATCTTGTCGCGTGACCTGTTCGGGTCCACGAAGAGCCAAAGACGTGCCAAGAGAGCCTCGAGAGGCCCCCCAAGACGGTCCGAGATGGTCCCGAGTCGCCGAAAGATCGCTCCAAGGCGCGCAAGATGGCCCCATGACGGCCCAAGAGACCCCCTAAGACGCTCCAAGAGGCCTCCAAGAGGCCTCCCAAGAAGGCCCCAAGACGCCAACATCATCGATTGCCCGTAGGTTTTTGGAGGTTTGGGGTATTTTCGTTGTTTCGGTTTTCCGACACTCCAAGACGGCCTCGGGGCCTCCAAGACCGCCCCACGACAGCCCCGACAGCCCAAGAGGCAACCAAGACGCCCCCAATACGGCCCACGAGGGCCCAAAAACGGCCCAAGAGCCGCCCACAACTGCCTTTTCGGGGCCCAAGACGGCCCCAAGAGAGCCCTAGAAGGGAAGGGCACGGAACGAAAACTGAAGCATTCCGCCCCGAGAAAGCCCCAAAGGCCCCAAGAGCCCCCAGGAGGCCCCCAAGAAACCCCAAGAGGCCCCCAAGAGGCCCGAAAGAGGCCGTAGGAAGCCCCACAACTGGCCACCAAGGTTTCCAAACTGTTTCCAAGAGGCACCGAAGAGACCGACCACAACTTGCCAGCGAACACTCACAAGGCATCTGACTTACAACCGGACGACGTGCCGCAAGTGATACATGATTGGATACTGTCCCAACTGGTACTTGTCATGTACCACTTGAGGTACTCTGGCGACATGCCTCGAGTGATACTTGCTCGGTGCCACGTGAGGCATACTGACAACATGCCTCAGGCGATGCTTGGTCGGTGCCACTTGAGTCATACAAACGAAGTGCCTGACGATGCATGATTGGTACCAGTGGAGGCACACTGACGACATGCCTCACGTGATACTTGGTCGGTACCACTTGAAGCATCCAGGCGACAAGCATACCGACGATATGCCTCAACTGGTAATTATCACGCACCACTTGAGGCACACAAACGAGATGTGTCAAGGTATACTTGGTCGTTGCAATTTGAGGCACGCAGACGACATGCCCCAAGCGATACTTGGCCGGCGCGACTGGAAACGTACAAACAACATGCCTCAAACGGTACATGATTGATACCACTTGAGACACAGTAGCGACATGCCTCATGTGAAACACGGTCGGCGCCACTTCAGGCATACATACGACATGCCTGAAGCGGTAGTTGGCCGATACCATTTGGCACATGCAAACGACATGCCTCAAGCGGCACATGACTGGTACCACGACGCACACGAGCGACTCAGGTAATGCAAGAGTGGTACCAGTCGTAAGACACAGAGACGACATGCCTCAAGCTGCGCATGCCTCAAGTGGTACATGTCCGAGACCACTTGAGGCACACAGACTAAATACCTCGCGCGGTCATTCTCCTGTACCAGTCGAAGCACACACACAGAATGCCTCATGTGGTACTTGCCTGGTACAACATGAAGTACACAGACGACATGCCGCAAGCGGCATTTGGTCGGCGCCACCTGGGCCATACAAGCGCAATGCCTCAAGCGACAAATGACTGGCACCACTGGATGCACACAGACGACATACCTCAAGCGAAACAGGACCGGCACCACTTAAGAAACACAGGCCACATGCCTGAAATTATATATGGTAGGCACCTCTTGAGGCACACAAAGAACATGCCTCGAACGGCACTTAGCCGGCGCCACTGGAGGCGTGCAAACGACACGCCTTCAGCGGAACATGACTGGTACCACTGGAGGAACACGGGCGACATGCCTCGAGTGAAACTGTCGGCAGCACTTCAGGCACACAGACAAAATGCTTCAAATGAGACCTTGGTCGGCACCACTCGAGGCAACCAAGAAACACGCCTCGCGCGGCACATGACTGATTCCCCCTGACACCTACAATCGCAATGCCTCTAGCGTTACTTGGTCGGTGCCCTTTCAGGCACACAGACGGCCTGCATCAAGCGGCACTTGGTCGGCGCCATTCGAGGCATACAAGCGCCATGCTTCAAGCGGCGCAGTACCGATACCACTTGAGGCGCACACACGACGCCTCTCAAGCGGCAGTTCTTTGGCAACACTTGCGTCATTAAGACGACATGCCTCAGGCGGCACTTGCCTGGTTCCATTTGAAGCACACAGACGCTCTGCTCCAAATGGCGCGCGCCCACCGCCGAGTGGGGCACGCAGACGACACGCCGCAAGTGGCACCCCATTCGTACTACTTGAAGCGCGCAAGCGACATGCCGAGCGCGGCACTTGCCCCGTGCCCCTGGAAGCGCACAGATGACACACTGCGTGTGTCATTTGTCAGTTACATCTGGGGAACACAGACGCAATACCTCAAGCGGGTTGACACTCGAACGTCAAAAAGCCTGTCCTACCGACGCCAATCGCCACAACCACTACAGCATAGAAAACTCTTGCAGCGCGCGGAATGACTCGAACGAAACTCGCGCGGCACCAACCTCGTTAGAAAGTATAATCCTACAGATCCTCTGAATTCAACCGTCGGGTGATTAGAATTGGGAGGGGGGGGGGAGGTACACTGCAGGTTCCTACGCATTGACTGCTTGTCCTGGATTATCTCGTGCGCCCCGTACTCCCGATCCTCCACGAAAGCCGCCCTGGCGGCGATGACGATGGCAGAAGCGACGGCGAGGCGAGCATGGTTAGTGCGACAGGAATCAAACGTGCATGTCCATGTCCAGTCACATCAGATCGATTGTCGACTACGGACTTGATTTCCGACAATTGCGCGCTGCGACTGCACTTGCAAACACATCGAGCCATTCTTCTCTCGCGTCAAGCGCCGAGCGCGGAAGCATGCAATTATGCACGGAGCGTCGCTGCACTGGACAGCACCCCGCCTCAAAGTCAGACGCGGGGACAATCGCCGACATTCCAAATCTGCTGAGCAGGCAACTGCAGTCACATCCATGGAGCATCCACACAATATATAACCACGCCTATATCACACATCTGCTGAACAGGCACGCTCAGAAACATCGGGCGCTGCACTCCATGACGAAAATGCGCGCAAATATTGTTTTGACTATGGCGGCTGCAAGCGACGTGCTGCTCTTGTCCTCCGTCAGGAAATCGCCGCAGGTGCACGCGCCCCCCTTCGTCTTCGAGGCTGCGCGGCCCCGAGTCGGTGCCGCCCTCCCGCGCGCGCGACCGCCGGCGCCCTTAGCAGCGCAGGTGACAAAGCGGCAGTCTTCGCAACGGACAGGATTCACCCCCGCCAATGTCTTGGGCATCTGTCTCGGACTTGAGGCCACAGAGGGCCGGTCGCATCCTTCCTTAGTCTTGCACTCCTTGCTCCGGCAGGCCGCGCGCGTCTTGCAGCGCGGCGCCACGCGCGGCGGACGCCAGCAATGGAAGCACTTCCGGCAACGACCCGGCTGGCTGCTGTTTGCCAGCTGCCCACTCGCAAAGTCCGCCTTCGACTTCCAAGCGTCGCAGAGCGAACACTGGAACACCTGGCTACCCTCGCACAGGAAGGCCGTGACCTCTGCCAGCGTCGACGGCGTGCGCTTGGGATGCAACCACGAAGTGGTATCTTTGCAGCTTGCCCCCTTCATGCACTTCGGCCCCCTGCAAGCCTTGCACGCCGCGCAGCTCGGCCCCGCGCACTGCGGGCGCCAGCAATTGACGCACCTCAGCATGCGGCCATGATTAGCGCGACGCCTCCAGTGCCCTGCAGGGAATTATGCCTTCGTCCTGTCCGCGTTGCAAGCGGCGGACTGTAGCGCCTGCGCGGCCTCTGGCACTGCGACCTCCATGTCGTCGGTTCCGGGACTCTGCACGTCACGCACTGGAGATAATCCGCCTGCACTAGCGTCTGCGGGATGTGTTTCGCACTCAGATGCGAGATGGGAGCTAGGCAGTTGGCCCCCCGCGTGCAACTCGGGTTTCTGCGCTTCTTGCATGTCAGGAAACTTGGTTCTGCGCACTGAGGGTGCCGGCCGTCGTAGCAGCTGAGCACGCGAACGCGCCCCCTGCGATATTGCTCGGGCGGGAACTCAGCTGGGAGATGGGAGCTTCGCAGTTCGCGTCCTTCCCCCTTTTGGGGGTTCTATACTTCCTGCACGTATGGCAGCTTACCTCTGCGCACTGAGTTCGCCAGTAACCGTTGCACCTGAGAATGCAGCCGGCGCCGTTACTGTGCTTCCACTGCCCTGG